AGGGAGGGGTGTGTAGAAGAAGGGGGGTTTGTTGATGGTTAGGGAGGGGAGGGGGGTTTGCTGGTGGTTGGGGCGGGAAGGGGGAGTGTGGGAGAGGGAGGTTTGCTGGTTGTTGGTGAGGGGAGGGTGTTTGTAGAGCAATAGGGTTTGCCGGTGAGCGGAGAAGGGGTGCATAACTTGGGAAGAGGATTTGCCAGTGGGCTGGAATCAGAGAGGGGCTCACCAGTAGGCGGAGAGGTGAAGGGGTGCTTAGAGGAAGAGGGCTCACTGGTGGGCGGGGATGGGAGCGTGTGTGTGGGGAGTTCACGAGTGGGCGGGGAGAAGGGTCATTGGGGTAGCGGGTGGGTGGTCAGGGTAGGTAGGGGAGGGGGCTTTGCCGGCGGGTGGCCATGTAGATGTAGCACTATTTCGTGCGCAGTGTACGCATTGTGTCGGGACGTGTCACATGTCGCGTAGACGTTGTACCGTGGCATACACCTCCTGCGTACCTGCCATTGTGCCATATGTGGCGTACCTGCCATCGTGCCATACGTGGCGTACCTGCAATTGTGCCATACGTGGCCTACCTGCCATCATGCCATACGTGGCATACCTGCCATCGTCGAGGCATTGCACCGCGTTTAGCGCCCTGTACGAGCCCTCACGTTATCGGCACACCGGCACGTAGACCTACGCGTCACCTCGACGTTTTCTCTCCCGCAGCGATAATCCGGAGACGGACATCTACGGCGCAAACCTCTACAATCGCTACCTGGGCACGCGCGTCGGCAGCAAGCGGCGCAAGATCTCGCACCTGAAGGCGGCGCAGCAGGTTGCGATCGGCTCGACGTCCGACCAGCGCTACAACGTCTACGAGGTGAGGCGTCGTCGCTCGCTGCTGCGCGGGGGCGGGGTTGGGGGGGGGGGTCTGTGAGAGAGCTGGCGTGAGGTGAAGCTGGCAAGAGTGTGGCAGGCAGCTGGCAATGATGCGTGGTTCTGTTAAAAAGCTGGCAAATTTATACGAAGTAACGTCTACTTTTACGTGTTTTTTTTTTCTCCAAAAAGTACGTGTACTGTACAGCAGTAATGCAACTACATTGAAACACGTGCTGCCATCTTGTAGCGATTTTATACATAAAATGGGATTTTGATGGCAATGTGGAAGGGATGTAAAAGATATAAGTGTGGCAGGCAGCTGGCATATATCTGCTAAAAAGCTGGCAAATTTATTTATATATGTGTGTATGTATGTATATATATATACAGGGGTTACTGTACGGTACCACACACCAAAATAGCCAATTGCTACACTTTTTTGTACTGGCTATAAAAACTTTAGACTGGCTATTTTTTGGCTAAAAGTGACCAATCTGGGTAATTGGCAACATTGGCTACAAAAAAGTCAATTGGCTATTTTTTGGGTTACACTTTCCACTTTCCCGAATGATCCCTGTATATATGTAATAGATATACTCGCTAATACACTATACCAATATCGTGTATTGTATGTGTGCATGTATCGTTTAGGACTTGGATGATGAAGATGATGAACACGTGGAGCCACTAGGAGTGAACAGCTGTCACTCCATCCTGGTGCAGACGGGTGTCTTCTCTGACGATTCTTGGGATGACAATCCACAGGTGAGAGAGAGAGAGAGCGAGGGAGAGAGAGAGAGAGAGAGAGAGAGAGAGAGAGAGAGAGAGAGAGAGTAGAGAGTAGAGAGTAGAGAGAGAGAGAGAGAGAGAGAGAGAGAGAGAGA